ACTGCTGTTCCTGAAACCACGCTTTCTTTCTTTGCGTGCACATTTGGGTGCATTATGCTAATATTTCCACATAGTGACATAGATATGTGGGGGCGTGTTAGAACGAGCCAGTTTAGGTAGGCATGGCTGACTCTTAACTTTTATAAAGAATATCTCTTTGGATTTGAGACTTTAGTCTTTGCAACTTTACAGATCTTCTTTATGCACCAAGAGCTTGTAACCCTCCAAAGAGAAAGGAAAACTTGATACTGAAAACTGATTCTTGTGAATCAAAACAGCATATTACAATTATTTCTGAAGGATCATTTGAAAGTGAAGACTGGAGCAATTGCAGCTTTAAATTCAGCTTTGCCATCTCAAGATTATATATATATATATTAAAGCAGAATGTAGTAAAAAAAATCCAATAATATTGCACAATATTACTTCACTTTTCATTAAATAAATGCTGTTTTATAAAAAAAGTATCATATACATAAAGTGAGTCTTGTACACATCAGTTAGAATGAGCTGAATAATAAACACATTTAAGCTGTTTCTAGCAAAAAACAAAAAAATACTATTTATATAGTTTTAAACAAAATTTTTTTCTAAATTATTCTTTAGAAAATATTGTCTAATATTATACTTAAACATTTAAATATTATAGTTTTGACAAAATATGTATAGAAAAATCCTTGTTTGGTCCTGCTATAGTACACAAAGTTAAATAACACAGGTCAAATAAGTTTTTGAAGTTCTCACCTTTGCTGTAGCTCATGTTCTTTGTGAATATATTGATAACACTGTGTGGGCTTCCCTTGGCCAGTTCTTCCCATGGTCCATTGCTTCCTCCTCGTACCATATTTGACACATTAAAGGGCAGGTGCTTCTCTGCCTCTTTCTGAAAGCGTGAAATTGGGTTCAAACTGTTTCCATTCAGATGTGCACTGTATCCTGTGGTTCCCAGTCTTGATTTGGGCAGCTCTTGCAGGTCTTCGTCAGATATACTGCCCTCACTCAGCAGAGGACCCTCACTGATAGAACCTCCGCTGGAGTCCAGCTCAACTTCCTGAACAAAGGACTTTGGAGGAGAAGGGGTCTTGCGTTTGTTTCTAGAGTTGAGGCCAGAAGGTGCAAGTGTTTGTTTGTTCCCAGTCTCCATCCTCTCCCTAAAGCTGTGCAGGTTGCCCACACCTGGAAGGGCCTGATCATAGGTGCTCTGACCCGCAGCAAGCAGTTTTTCAATCCTCTCAACCAGGTCATCAGAATCTGTCGGATTCTCTCTGACTGGCGGACTGACAGGTTTAGCCCAGCGGTCATCATTAGGGATTAAAAGACCCGTGCCTGTATCCCTGGCACAACCGTAGTTTATTCCGGCACCGGCTAGCTTACATGCCTCGCTCTCAATACGGCTGGAGAGAGAGGCAGCTGTGGCCTTAAGAGCCTCAATACGACTCATTTTGCGGCCTGTGGTTGAGGGAAACACTGCATGTGCAGTTAGGGACTCTCTGTTAGGTAGTGAAGGTTCTGGATCAAGTTCTAACAGCTGAGAGAAGATATGGCCAGAAGGAGGTGCTAGGGAGCTGCTGACCCTCAGAGCAGGACTACACTGGTCAGATTGAAGCCAGGGTGACCCTGCAAAACCCAAACCATTCCTACAGAAACAATACAAGACAACAGATTATTAAAGTACAATAATGACAAAAAAAAAAGACTGCTACACAAAAACATTACTTAACATAAAAAAACGTATAGTAAATATTTTAAATTGAGTCACATATGGCATAAATTTTGTAATCTCACCAAAATAATTCATTAGGAGATTCAGAAGTCAGTTTTAATCCATTTTTAGGAACATCCAGTGTTCACAAACTCAATACGCAGAAGACGCCGCCAACTACATGCACTTAAAGGTGGCCATGGAAACCGAAACAGGCTAGCAACAAACACTTCTCGCTAAGCACTGAGCTGACGGATTAATCTGTTCTTACAGAACTACTTGAAATAAGGGCATGTCATCTGTGTAAGGGAATACAAATTACTTCCCATTTAGGGAAAGGAGATATTTTGTTAATCTTTTCAGTGCTTAGAACAGATAAATAACAACAAAAAAAGGTAGCTCTTTGCTTACAGAAGCAGGGTTTTTTAGCAGGAAAACCAAACATTACACTTATGATACAGATGATGTAATGGAATGGGACTCTGTGTTTTACCTGGAGAAAGGAGGCTGGCATTGCCCCGTAAGGGACAGATCACTGCTGGAGGTGGCACTTTGAGGTCGATCATGTCTTTTGTTTTCTTTATCAGACTCTCCAGATGGCTGGTATACTGTTCTCGGCTGCAATGTAACAACAAAAACACTTAAAATAGTGGTCGATCATTATGGATTTTGTCTAGACACCAGGGTGCCCAATAGTTAATATGATCATAATATTCAGTATATAATGTAGTTATACAAGTTTTTTTTTTTAAGAAGTCCCTTATGCTCACCAAGGCTGCATTTATTCATTACAACACAAATACAGTTACAATAGTAATATTGTAAAATATCGTAATTTAAATTAACTGTTTACTATTTTAAATCCTGTGATGGTAAAGCTGAATTAACAGTTTTACAGTTTTCAGTGTCACATGATCCTATATGATACATTTATTATTACTAGTGGTCGATCGATATTGGTTTTTTGACAGCCGACGCCGATGCCGATATCTTGGAAAGCAGGGTGGCCGATGGCCGATATAAAGCCGATATCATTTTATTTATTTTAATATTTAAGAAATTTTAAATCATTTGAAAATGGATTAAAAAATAAATGTGTAAAATAAACATACTTATACTTTAAATTACAAAAGTATTTTTCACAAATAAATAAATATTTAATAAAAATATAATTAAAAAGGAAGTAAACACTGTAACCAACAGGGCACTCAGTATTCTGGGAAGTTTGTGTGCATTGGGATTTGGGAATCATATTTTTTCAAATAAAGCCAAGGTAACACTCATTTTACATACAGCACACAGTGAAAATGACATGAATATGACAGTGGGCAAAAGCATGAAGCGCAGCTTAATTTGAAATCATGAGTTTAAAGTTAGTCGATTGCACGTCTCCAGTGAAGCTGAACTCTCCTCCTGTCAGCATTCAATTCGCACGGATCGACCGTCACGCAGAGAACACGCGATCATGCAGGATACAAATGCACACTTCACAAGATCTCACAGCTGGATTTGACTAAGTTTGATTTTTGA